TCGTGTGGGGTCCAGATTTCTTTTATGGGGGGGAGTTTTTCCCACAGCAAGTAAAGGGTGAGCTGATGGCTGGCTTGGGTTAAAGCAGGCCATACTGAGCTTGAGACAAGGCTAAAGTTCAGATAGATAAACTCTGTGGAGATTTGGCATTGGTCAGTTTTAGCCTGGATTTTTGCCTTTTTTGATAGCTGGACTTTGAGTTTTTGAAGCCTCTAAGGAGGAGTTTGCTCATACTTCACTCAGCAGAACAAAATGTCTGTGGTCTTTATTTCAGCAAGTCTCCAAAGCCTGATGCTCAGAAGGAGAAGGGGAAGAAACCCCGAGTGTGGGATCTGGGGAACTCTAACGCCAAAGTACTTGATTACAGTAACTCCACTACCAACGGGAACTCAGAGGCCTCTCCCGTGGAGGAGTTTGAGCCTGATATGGTAAGAAGTCAGGTCATGGTGTCTGCTTTGTTGTGCTCTGGAGTCAGCGGGGCATCACCGAGAGTGGCTGAGCAAGTGCTGGAAGAGGGGATCAGGGCGCCCAGCTGCTGCCTGGAGGAGGTTTTCTTCTGCTGCAAACAGCACCAGATCTGCATGCGCCAATCTGACCAAACCACTGAGCACTTGTGGCAGGGGTCTGTAGAGCTGCATCTGCTGACTGCAGCTGATGCTGTTCCTATTGAAAGCAAGCTGGGAAAATAACATTCAGCAGTTGCCACTTCTCAGTGTGCTGCATTCATCTTGCAGGCCCTTAAGGATCGAAACCGTGAGCCTGGCCGCCTCTATGACCTCGAATATGAGAGTGATGAAGAAGCTGAAGAGGAGAAGACTATTCAGAACGCTTCAAAACCCAGGTAGAGGCTCCTGAGGCCCTGACTGCTGCATCCTTCGTGATTTCCCTCCCATAATTCATTTTCCAGACTATTCAGTAATGCAGCAGGTACAGACAGGTCTGTTTGTCAGCTGTGACAGGCTATTGTCTCTCCCTGCTGCTGGCTGCTGCATGCGCTGTGCAGTTCACACCTAAGATAAGTGTTCTGCTTCTGTGCAGCACAAAGAAAGGTGGCCTCGGAGGTATGTTTGGCATGCTGAAAGGCCTGGTGGGCTCCAAGAGTTTGACAAGACAGGACATGGACCCAGTCCTGGAGAAGATGAAAGATCACTTGATTGGTACGTGTGGGTCTGCTGTGCGTGGCTTTGTCTGAATGGTGAAATCAGGAGGGGATCCTTCACTTCCACTCTTCCCTCTGCGCCAAGCTCCCAGGCCTGGTGTGATGCTGGTGTCCAACGTGTGCCGTCCGTCCTGCTCTGATAACCCTGCTCTCTTCTCTCTGTCTCTCTCTCTCCCAAAGCAAAAAATGTGGCAGCTGAAATTGCAGTCCAGCTCTGTGAATCAGTGGCGAAGAAACTGGAAGGGAAAGTGATGGGAACGTTCACCAGTAAGTGGTTGTGCCCTGCTTGTGTTCTTATTGGTGCGTGCAGCTCGCTGGCCTGGGTCCCCTGCTTCTCCAACCTGGTGAATCTATGGTACCCAATGTCTTCCTGGCCTCCTCGCGTTGGTAATTTGGGGATCAGGGCTTCTCTGCAGGGCTTTCCAGGTGTGCCACGTTCTCCTTTCATCTCCTTTTTCCCAGCTGTGACCTCAACAGTGAAGCAGGCCCTGCAGGAGGCCTTAGTGCAGATCCTGCAGCCGCAGCGCCGCGTGGACGTGCTCCGGGACGTCATGGATGCGCAGCGGCACCGCCGGCCCTACGTGGTCACTTTCTGCGGCGTCAACGGCGTTGGGAAATCCACCAACCTGGCCAAGGTGGGGCACGGCGCCGGCGGCCCTGGGACGGGACGGGGCTCGGGCCGCTAACGAGGCTTTTCCATTGCTGGCCGCAGATCTCGTTCTGGCTGATTGAGAATGGTTTCAGCGTGCTCATTGCTGCCTGCGACACGTTCCGAGCAGGGGCCGTGGAGCAGCTCCGCACTCACACCCGGCGCCTCAACGCCCTGCACCCCCCGGAGAGCCACGGCGGGCGGAGCATGGTGCAGCTGTACGAGAAGGGCTACGGGAAGGACGCTGCAGGGATCGCCATGGAGGCCATCTCCTATGGTAGGAAGGAGCGGCGCAGGCGGGGCCGGCTGGGACCCTGGCCTTCCTCTGCTTACGCTTTCTCCGCGTCTCCGCAGCTCGTAACCAGGGCTTCGACGTGGTGCTGGTGGACACGGCGGGCCGCATGCAGGACAATGCCCCCTTGATGACAGCCCTGGCAAAACTCATTGCCGTCAACGCTCCTGACTTGGTCCTTTTCGTTGGAGAGGCTCTGGTGGGAAACGAGGCTGTGGATCAGCTGGTGAGTGTGCAGAGCTGCTTTCTGGGAAGGGCAGATCTGCGTGGGTTTTATGGGTGTTTCAGACGGGGTCGGCGACACAACTTCGTTTCTTGAGGATGTTCTCTTCCTCAGGTCAAGTTCAACAAGGCCCTGGCTGACCACTCCATGGCCCAGACGCCCCGGCTCATTGATGGAATTGTGCTCACCAAGTTTGATACCATCGATGACAAGGTAAGGGGAGCGTTTCGTGCTCGGGGGGTTTTCTCCAACCTTACCCTGGCAGAGAGCTTCCTGCTGGTGACAGGAGGGAAGAGCTGCAGTCAACAAACAGGGGCTGTTTTCATTGGCCACTTATGGCCTCTCCTAGAGGCTGTCCTTTGTGTTAAAATGCGCTCCAGCCATCTAGACAAAACGAAGCAGACTGATTTCTGTCCCTGTGGACAAATGGCCGTGAGGTGTCCCAGTTCTTTGGCAGAATTGACTGAGGGATGTGGAATTGGGACTGTACAGTTCTGGAAAACATAAGAAGGCTGAATGTTTGTGCTCCCCTGAGGAGGTAATACTGGGACAGCTGCAGCAAGCACATCCCAAGGGAAGTGCAGCTGAATCAGGCACTCAGAGCCTGCATTAAATGCCAAGCAGAATAACGTGGCTTTAAATCAGGGTGAACCTGCTTATGCAGCATAGGGAGTGAGATCTGCAGAATGTGAAATCCTGGTGGGAGATGACTTGTGGCTGCAGGTGCCACTGACACCCAGTTATGCCAGCTGCAATGCCCCCTGGCCTCCTGCCTGCCCATGGAGCTGAGCATGGGGTGTGAGGTGCCTGCATCCTTGGGAGCAGCCTGTGTGTTTCTGTGTGTTCTCCAAAACTCAGAGCTTCAGGCTCAGAAATTTGGATCCTTGTTGTTGCATTCTTGGGCCCTTTTTTTGCTCCCTCTGAAGTCTGCAGTGAACTGGAAATGTTCTTATGGAGCAGCAGGCTGTACAGGGGGAGGCTGGCCTGCTAATGGTGCTCGTCCCCTCGGCAGGTCGGCGCCGCCATCTCTATGACCTACATCACAAGCAAGCCCATCGTTTTTGTTGGTACTGGACAAACCTACTGTGATCTGCGTAGCCTTAACGCCAAGGCTGTGGTCGCAGCGCTCATGAAGGCCTAAAATCAAGTATTGCACCAAATTGCTGTTTGCAGATGTCTCAGAAGAACATGCTTCACCCTGTGACTGACTAGTCTTTCCAGTGTAGTGCAGAACAGAATGAAGGGATGCGGGTGCAAGGGCTGTGCTTCCCCTGCCCATCTGATCTCAGTGCTCGCTGGTGTGCTCTTCCAACACTGCATGAGCATAAAGTAGGAAGGAAGGTGTTAGCTGATCACCTTGTGCTTATTCCAGTTAGGTCCATGCTCTCCTGCCATATTTATTGACTATGGTGTATTTGTAGATGAAAGCTCTCTTCTCTACTTGGAGCGTTCCTCCCTGATCAGCTGTGGGGCTTTGCTCAGTATAGCCCTGCCCCTGGATTCCTTCATTCTGTTCCAATAACTCGGCCTCCCTCATGCAGAGGCTGAAACCAGAGCTTTGTATTGTTCATGCTATCCAAGTGGCAGCGCAAGGACCTGCTGTCGTTGGGGCTGTGCTGTCACTGGCAGCAGCTGTGCACTGTTGGGCAGGGCTGCAGGTGGGTACTGAGCCCCAAGCTGCTCTTTTGTGCTCTTGCAGACCATACAACAGGGACAGCTGCTGCTCAGTGACAGCATTAGACCACCTGACCGTTCACAGTGCTGCTAACTTTGGCTGTAGCAGCTCACCAAAGTTGATAAACCAAAAATTGCAACAGCCTGCCCCTGTCCTGGGCAAGCAGGGGCTCCCGGGGAGATGCTAAACTGCCTTATGGCCCCCATTTCTTTTGTCGCTGGGGTCTCGCTGCAGGGCACCCAGAGAACTGCAGCAGTGTCTGGCAGTGCTGGTTGTTCCACCGGCCAGCGATGGAGGGCAGTGTGCCCCTGCGGCTCTTCTGCCTGCTGGCCTCAGCGTTGTTTGCTGCCTCAACTATGTAATAAAAGAAAAAAAATACTGGAAGACAGTGGTGGCTGCTTGCTGCTTCCCTGCACCCCTTTCTCCCCCCCTTTAGAGTGCCTCTTGATCCTGGTCTAAAGTGCTACATTGAATAATACAAAACTCTCTTATGATGTCTTGTAGCTCCGTATTGCAGATGTGCTCTAGTGCAATAAATTGAATGCTGTCTGCTAAGAGACATAATTTATATAAATAAACTTCATAATTTGTTTTCTGTGTACAACTAGCTTGCCTTCAGCCAAGACCCCTTTCCTTCTCGGGGGAGACAGGCTGCTGCCTCTGCCTTCAGGCTGTGACGTGTGCATGCAAACCAAACAGCAGCCAAAAGGGTAATGGAACTGAACAGGCCTTTAATAGGAGCTTCAACATACAAAATACTGTACAGTACAAAGGAAGGACTATAAAACTAGAGCTTCAAGTAAAAAAAAAGCAAACCAAAACAAAAACTGCTCAAGTTTCATTCTGAAGTGAAAGTACAGAATACAAAGGCATTAAGTATGAAATTACAGGAGGCTGCAGCTGAGGTGGGGAGAGCTCATCCCCCAGCAAACAGCCTTGCTAAAAAGGACAGTCGGTCGCCAGGTATCTGTGAGGAGGGGCCCAGCCCTCGGCGCCGCGCTCCTCAGCAGCAGCTCTGAGCAAAGCGCTGCTCCTCCCCTCGTGCGGTGCTGCGGCTCCCTGCGCTGTAGGAGCGCGGCGTCGCTCCTGGCCTGCGGCTCACGTGCTGCAGCCTGTGGGAAGGAAAGGCCCTGCAGAACCGGCCTGGGCCCGCGCCGCTCCTGCGGCACCCGGCGAGGTGGTTGGAAAGAGGGACGCCGGGTGCCGCGGGGCGGTGGAGCCTCTGCTCCGAACCGGGGCTGGCCGTGCAGCGACGCCGCGCAGGACGAGGCAGCAGTGGGGCTCAGCACCGCACGGCGGGTGGCGCTGCTGCACCAGGAGCCTCTCTGCACCTGCGGGAACCTTACCTGTTATCTCAGCGTGCGCTGCGGCGGAGCCGTTCAGCTGTTGTCCCTCCTTAGGCACACCTGAAACAGAGCAGAGCGTGGGTATGGGCTGGGAAGGCAGGAGGCAACCGTCAGCATTCAGCCTGCGCTGCTCCAGGAATGGATGGCACTTCAGGAGCAACTGAGGGATTCCCCGTGACGCCCTCCTGGCTGGGTTTTACCTTCAGGACACACACCAGCAAGGCTCTGGTTAGCAAGCTTGTTTCTGATTTTTATGATTTATTAGTGTGAAATCTCATTTGTTAGAGAATTGGCTCAGTCTGAGTAGTGTGCAGATCACTGAGACCAAATAATGAGCCTGGAACGCACTTTCCTTTCACTAGAAAGAGAACAAATGATGCCAGCTGCATGAAAAAAGTTAGGTATGGATGAGTCAGAAGCAGTAGAGCTGTTTTAACTACATGAACATGCAGTGATTGTGTGAAAATAAGCCCCAAATCCAGCTACAAATGCAGAAAACTGGGTGGGGGGAAATACAGGACAGAGAAAAAGAGGCAGTGATGCCGTGTTGTGCTCCAGGGACCACCTGCAAGGTGCACACAGCCCATACCTGCTCGGCCCCGCGTGGCAATCTCACTCGCCAGCCTCCCAAAGTACTCGGGCAGGTCTGTGTACTCATCTCCATAGGAAATCACTTTAATGCCCTTGTCCAGCATGTTCTCACGGAGCTTCTTAAACTCGTCCACATCTCCTCTCCGCACGAGCATGAAGTGCTCCAGGTCTGACTTGTGCTTCTCAGCTTCTAGAAAGAGGGCCTGAAACGTGGTGTCATCAACAGTCCAACCACAGCCCAAGAACAGGAACGACTTGTTTTCATACAGCTTCTGAATCTCTCGCTTGAAGAGAAAACAGGAAAGATGTTCTCGGTAAGAGCAGAGCCTATTTCAGAAGGAATCTGGCTCCGAACCTACGGGGCTCTTCACAGCTCACCATCACCTCGGTGTTGCGCAGCACGTTCTGGTAGCCGGCTGGGTGCAGCACGATGCCGCTGGGGTTGGTGTACACACCGTGGATGTGCAGGACACTGAGCTGCCTCTTCTCCTGGGCCCATTCCAGCACCTGCCAGAACAAACGGCGCCAGTGTGAGCGAGCGCTTCCAGCACAGCTGCTATGGCACGGCCTCGCTGGGTCTTCTGCAGCTCCTGCCCTAAGACTCGTCTCCCACCTCTTCGGGTGCTGAACTGTGTGCTTTAAAGTGGAGGCTCTGGAGAAGCTTCTCAAAGGCAGCTTCTTCCTCACGTTCATCTCGTTTCCTCAAGAGGTTGTGAGTTCAACAGCCTCTACGTCAGTAGCCTATGGCACTTCTTGGTTCAACACTACAGAGGAATGGCTAACGTCACTGGAAGAGACTATGATCAGTGCGCCAGGCTCAGCAGAAAAGGGGGACAAATGGAATATAATGTCAGCAAATTTCTTCGAGTCCATCGAGTTCATTTTTTGCTCCCCCAGGCCCTGAGAAAGCTCAGCAGCTGACCTTCATTTCAGAAAGCCACTTTGAGGCTCTCGGTTTACTCCTACAGACCGCAGCTCATTTAAGCTGGCAATAATTAGAACGCTGATTTGTATTGCTCTAAGTACCTGCAGCCATGGAGATTAAGAGGTCACAGAGGAAACAAAGCACAGAAACAAGTCAGGATGGAAAGAAACAGATTACTTCACAGCATCCACAAACGGAGCAGCACTGTGATTTGCACGAGTAAAACCCCCGGTGTAAAGCAGGGCAGTGCTGGGGGCACGGGCTGTGCTGTTTGCCACTCATTTTCTGCCTGGCTGAAGCCCCGGGCAGGCAGGGAAGTGTCTGAGGCCAACAGCTACAAATGCAGCACGAGGTCTGTGGCACACAGAGCTGCCCGGCCCTTCTGGAGGCAGGGCAGAGGGTAGGAAGGACGAAGGACCCAGGAGTCGCAGCTTGCTGCCTGCCAGGCCAGAGCCCTCTCTCAAAAAGCCCTCCTACAAGAGGCACATTACAGCAGACAGGCCAGCTCTGCTTTTTGCCCAGGGTTGCCAGTTTCGGTGAGAGCTGTCAATCCAAGCCTCACGTGGAAGCAAGGCTCACCGTATTGCAGCAAGGCCCAGCCACAGGTTTCAGGGACAGAGACCGGAGGAACACCAGGCTCAAAGGCTGCTCCTGAGCACTGGACATCAGCCAGTAAGAACTGCGCCTTAGAAACCAGCCTGCGTCGTCGCTCCTCACCACCCCAAACTGTCAGAGCCTCTGCCTGCCCTTCACCCGACACGATGCACATTACTGTTAGCAGCACAACCCCTGACGTGGGCATAACAGCACCAGCCCACGTTGTCCCAGCTCAGCCCTGGATCAACATCCTTTACCTTCTTCTCATCCGTCAGGTCAAGAGACTCCAGGTGCTTCCCCTGGTGTGCTGCGTACAGTTCCAGCAGGTTGTCGAAGTTTGTGGTTAACACCAGCGCCCCGTTTTCCATCAGGTGAAGCACTGACTGAAGCAGCTGTTTCCCAGAATCTTCCATTTTAGATTCCAGGTCATCAAACACCTCGTACAGACAGTCCTTGAAAAATGTTGAGCGAACATTGCTTGTGCGCTGAGGAGCAGAGAGAGATTAAGATCAGAGCCTGCTTTCTTTTCATACTTTGTGCCAAATGAATACACAAGAACTACCCACGCGTTTCTTGAAGAGCTCTGCAAAGCTGTAGGGCCTTGCAAGGCAAACACTGCACTTTTATCAGATTTATTTTCAGGTCGAAGAGCAAGAACAAGAGAACATCTGAGAAGAGACGTTCACCAGGCATTGCTCCATCCAGACTTATTGACTCAGCTCTGCAGCTCAGAGATAAAGGAGCGTCACTCTGCACAACGGGACGGATTTCCTCTCGCCCTTCACACGCTTCCCTGGCAAGCTCAGCATGAAATGCCAGCAGTTGGTGTTCAGTCCCTGGGAATCATGCAGCTGCTGGGGGCCCTCGGCTGTCCAAGGGACACTGACAGCTCTGGGAGCTCCTGGCCCAAAACCCCCTCAGGAACCCAGCCCAGAAACGGCAGGTGCTCGACTCCCTGTAAATGCAGGACCTGCTGTGCCTCCAAAGCCACTGGACACAGACGCACTGCAGCACTCACCGGAGAGAGCTTCTGGATAAGGTCATGGGCAACGTGCACCAAGTTCTTGTACTCATGGAGACACTTCTGAAACCTTTTGCTTTCTTCATCTTCCAGAAGATCAAAGTCAATAGCGGCATCCAGGAGGGCCTGGATCAAACCCTTCCAAGACTTCAGAGCTGGGACCTGGGGAGCAACCGCAGCGCTGATTCCTGTTCCGATCACCAGAACAAGTTCCCGAGGCTTCTTGGTTTTTAGGCTTGGCAACAGCTTCCTGCAAGAGGAGAAAGCAGCACAGCTGGCACCATCACACGTAGAAGGATGCCCTGAGTCATGGAACGTGCAAATCAAGGACAGCTGAGGCACTCGCTGCCTAAGTTTTTCATCAAAATGTCCATTATGGCTCTTTGGTAAGCAGGAGAGAGACAACTCAGTATCCTTCAGGAACAGGCAGAGCCCCACAGGCTGGCGTCACAAAGGCTCACAATTTCACTACATGCAACTGCAATTCAGAGAAGTGCCAGACAACCTACTTGTAAGTACAGAGAGCCTCCAGAGTGCAATTATTTAGCCTCTCATGCAGCAAAATCCAGCTAACTTGAGGAACTGCCTGAGCTACCAGGATGTGCCATCCCACATTGTGCAGGAGCACAGCAGGGCAGCACCTGAATGAGGGCTAACACCCAACAGGGAGACAGAGCAGCACAACGAAGCCTTCTGCGCAAGATGCAGCCTGGCTTTGGGGTTAAGGAAACCAGCAGCAAGGAATTCTTGGGCACATGCTCAGCTTTAAGGCCTTTGTTTCATGCACCACAGGAAAGCACTACTTAGAGAGCACAGCTAGAGACAGAACGCCTTTCCTGGATCAGCAACAGAGAGGACTGCTGGAGCTCTGTGCCAAACATCGGTCTGACTAAAGGACGACGCAAGGTTACGGGAAAAGCTCTCGTTAGAAGAAATGCACTGGCGTGTAATGGGAGTTACCTGGGCTTTTTTGCAGGGGGCATTCCATCTTCCAATAATGTTTCTTTACCCAGGCTCACCGTAGAAGCCATCCAGTTTCTACAGTAGACAAATCACCACAAGCAAAGTCACCACATGTGTGCATCACAGCGCGCAGCAGCCGGCTGTGCCGGGCACAGCGCTCGTCTCGTTATCTCTACATCACCTTTGAGCCAAGACTCAGGCTTCCTCGCTTTTGCACTTTGTACCCTGGCTCTCATCCACTCCTCAACTTCTTCTGACAACACAGCACGGTCAGATTGGCTGCTTTGTACCGCTGAGGCTCTCTGGGGAGCCTGAGGATAAGGCACCTTCACAGCACATCGCTCTCGCTGCTTCAGAAACAGCAGGAGGGAAAAAGCACAAACAGATTTGTTGGCTACAAAGGGCTGCTGGGAGCACTGCATTCCGTGGTGCCAAGGAGGGATCGTCCAAACCCGCCACACATCTGGGCTCGGTGGGATCTGACTGCCAAGCTGACAGAAAGGAAGGAAGCCGCAATGCTGAGAGCTCTCAATAGCAAATTACGTAAAGCACAGAAAGTCTGCCAGGAAATGCTCCTCTCCCACACGTTTCTCCAAAATAAGTCTATTAAAAGGCAAGGAAAACAGAAAGGTCTATGCACCCTTATGTATTTTTCTTGCCAATTGTAATCAAGAGTCCAACAAGAATCCTGGTTTGGGTTACTGCAACGGCAGGCTTTTGCCAAACAGAAATGTTGTACGAGAGCAGCTGGCCTGAAATCACAGCTTTTTACAGGGGCTGTGGCCTTCATTGTCACGCAGCCTCAGTGAGATTACGGACGGTTTGGGTTGGAAGGAACCTCAGCCCATGCAGCTCCACTCCCCAGCTGTGTGCTGGCTGCCCCCCAGCCCAGCGCCCACCCACAGGGACGGGGCAGCACAGCTCTGTGCAGCACTGCAGCGCCTCACCGCCCCGAGGGAAGGATTTCCTCCTCACATCTGACCTCAGCCTCTCCTCTTTCAGTTTAAAGCCATTGCCCTTGTCCTTTCACTGCCTCTGTACAAAGCTGGCCTCGCAAACAGAACAAGTGAGCCTGCAGATGCTCCACCAACTCCAGGAGCAACACTGCAGTGTAATGCATGTGAAAGTTCTACAGGAAGCCCCAGCTGTGCTGTAAGTGTTAGCAGGAATAATTTAAGAGGTTGTCCCAATAATCTAGATAACCTTTTCACGCTGGATAATGAAAACAGGACATGCTGACTCTCCCAAGAGCAGTGCTATGGCACAGCGTGCTTGCCAGGCTTCGTTTCCTTCCCCTTCTGAAAGCCTGCACTGTAATGCACTTGGAGAGGTGTGCAGGGACCCCGCTTTCACCTTCTGAACAGCCCTGGGCACATGCTGCCCACCTACCTCACATAACAGACTTTTGTTCTCCTTGTCTCACCTGTTCACAGCCCAGCCTGATGCCACTTACTCCTCTTACACGTATGCAGTATTTTGGACAGCATAAGTGGAGAACTCAGTTTAATTATTACACGATCCTAAAGTATTGAGGACATTCCAAAAGTCATTCTGACTTAGGAACACTCTGACTTTGTAGCTACCAAGGCAGTTTTCTAAGATTACAAACTTCAGCCTTCATCTCTACTTAACGCAGACAGCCAAAAAGAAACAAACAAAAACAAACCACAAATAATGTCTCGTCTCCTCCTGTCTCCAAAAAAAGTGCTTTTTGTTCTGAGCTCTGATAACAGCAAAGCTCTTCACAGTTTACTTCTTGAGGAGTAAGACTTGGAAGCCTCCAGACTTTCAGTCTGGGAGAAGGTCTGCTGTGCAGGGCACGGATCACACGAGCACAAACATTCCGGGTGGGTAACGGAGCTTCAGCAGCACCATCTCCAAGTGTGACATCACTGCTGTAGGGAAAACCCCACGCCGGGGCCTGGGCAGGAGCTGACCCTGCTGCGAGTTCCACCAAGGCAAAACAAACCAGGCACTCACCAGGTAAGAAGCGGTTCTCCAGTTTTTCTCCTCAAACGTCCTGAACTTTCCACGTATTCAGACTACACTGAGTTGGAGACAGCGCAGAAATCACCCTGCCGCTCCTTGGCTTATCTGTCCCGTCACAACCTCGTTCTGCTCTCAGCAGTACAGAACGGCTGCCGGACGGTCTGTGCGCTGTCTTCTCTCACAGCCCCCGGGGTGCAGGAAAGCGAGCAGAGAGGCTTCAGCCGAGCCCAAAGGAAAAGATGGGGGCTCGGAGGGGCGGCCCAGACAGAGTCAGGAGGGCGGGCGGCGCCGCGTCCCCGGCCGCTCGGGTCCCTCCCGGCCCCTCAGCCCCCCTCCTTCCCTCGGCCCCCCGCTACCATCACCGCTACCATCACCGCTCCGCTGTCATCGCCGCCCCGCTTCGCGCCCCTTCCGCCCCGCGCCCGCCGTCGCCAAGGCAACGCTCCCCCCTCCCCGCACGCACCTGGCGCCGCGCGTCCCGCCCCACGTGGTGACGCCCTCCTTGCGGCGCTCTGCGCAAGCGCCGTCCCGCCCCCTGCCGAGTCGTGGGTGGGAGAACGGGAGGCGATTGGCCCGCCCCCTTCCATAGCGCTCTTCCATTGGCTCCGTCCCGGAAGGGGCGGGAATTTCCACCACAAAATTGGGGGAGGTGGGAGAAGAATAAAGCGCATGTGCGAGAATTGGCACAGATCTCGCGATGCTTCCAGCGTGGGGCTATTAAAAATAGATAAATAAATAAATGGCGGCTGCGACGCGCGGTGGGCGGGGCGTCCGTCGGTCCGTCCGTGAGGGCGGAGGGGCAGCGCTGCCGGGCGCCCGGTTGGTATCGCAGAGCTCAGAGCGGCTGTGCGGGGGTTGGCGGAGGGCAGGGAGCGGGGAGGAGAGAGGAGAGAGGGCGGCCTGGGCTGCGAGCTGTGCGCTTCCAGGTGGGGCTCGTTTGTGCCGGTGAGTCACTGCGGGCACTGCGATGCGGGGCCGCCCCGGCCCGTGTGCTGACAGCCGCCCCCAGCGCGGTTGCTCCCCGTTCAGCAGCGGCGCTGGTCGCGTCGGGGCGGTGCTGAGCGCCTCGCAGAGCTGCCCGGAGCTCCGTGCCGGTGAGAGAGGCCGGCCCTGCTGGGGAGAGGGAGCCGAGTGCAGGTTGGAGAATGTGGAGGGAAAATGGAGACCCGCCGTTTACCTGTTGTTGGTCTTTTAGTAGGTCGAAAGGCTGAAATCCTTCGAGCCCCGGTCTGCCTGAAGGTCTGGGCTGGCAGGCGCTCGTGTCTGAGGTGGGGCTGATTGCGGTGCTGCTGGGCTTTGGGGCGCTGGGCTCCTCACAGCTGCACACACTGCATGTGGGGTGGGACGGGCAGCCCCACGGCAGGGATGGGGGGGTGATGCTGCCAGCAGGGAGTGAGAGTCCCCTCTGTGCACCTCCAGCCTGGACAGTGAGGGAAGGTCTTGTCTGTCCCCTGTAGAAGCAGTGAATGGCACTGTGCATCGCTGCAAGTGATGGGGTGCAGAGCAGGGATTTAAGCAGCTGGAGGTGGTTTCCTGCATTGTCATTGTTGAGGGGAAATGCTCCAAAAGGGCAGATGTGGTCTGACCTGCGGTGCCGTGATGCCAAGCCATAGGGCTGCCTCCTGACCCCGCTGCCCCTCCAGTGCTCTGGGTGATGCTGAACTCTCCAGGTGGGATCTGTGGGTCTGCAGTGCTTGTACAGAGAGGAAAACATCTTGTTTGCTGCCCTCAGCTTGCGCATATCACATAAATGAGAAGCTTGTGGCTTTGCCCTTGTCCCCCTTGCTGTGAGTGAGGCAGGGATGGGAGAAGGGAGAATTTGGGGTCCTTGAGGATATGCAACAGTAAGATTTCAAGGTGCTGTTCTCACTGCGTTGATGGGGTTGGCCCAGCTGTGACGGATGTGGGAGGGCTGGAGGGAGGCCCTAGGGAGGGCTGGTCTCCCAGCTCAGGATTGCTACCGGCTTCCCCTCCCTCCACTTCCGTGCCCAAGCTGCTGGCTGGTCTGCCTGCCAGTGAGACAGCAGCCCCAAGATGGCTCTTCCTTGCTGCTGGGGCTGGTGAGTGCTCCCTACAAGGAGGGAGGGGCTGGGAGTGCTTTGTTGGAGCTGCACTGGGGCAAGGAGGAAGCTGCAGGAGTGGCTCAGCTGGGCCATTCACACTGGATCCTATTAGGCTCCAGAGTGAATATCTTCTGTCTGTGCCTCCCACCCAGAAGACCCTCCTGCCTACCTCATGCTGTGCTGCCATCCGGGTCTGATGCAGCCCCTTCTGTGCTCTGACACAAGGATTTCAGGTGGGTACCCCAGTTCCTTGCCCACTAAGCCGCTCTTTAATGTCATGCTTATGCTTTTTTGCTATTACTAAGCAGGAGATTGCCTGGGGAGTGTGGTTTCCGTGGGCAGGGCACTGTATGCTACTGGGTTGCTGGTGGGTCTGGAGGTTTTGTCGGCGCTCACTTCGCATCCTGCTTCTTTCATGGGGGAAAGACTCCAGTGCTTATTTTGAATGAGGTGATGCAAGTGTGGAAAAGTGTGGGGTGGGGGGAGGTGTTGAAACAAGCAGGAGCAGACGTACTGCTGGCACACCAGTACATCCCTTGTATGAGTCGCTCCAGTGCCCCGATCTCATCGAGGTGCAGATCCCCGTGCACTCACATCCAGACAGGTGGGGCCTGGTGCATCCTTACTGTCAGGCAACTGATCCTCACTGGGCAAAGGTGGCCTGTGAGCCTGCCTACGTTTTTTTAGGGAGAGATGCACACCCAAATCTGAGGGAGGAGTAGCACCAAGGGCGTGGGATATGGGCCGAGTAGGAAGCAATGTAGGAAGTAGTGCTGCTGTGCCGATCCCTGGAAACTGATTCCCTCTCCTCCCATCCTCACAGGATCTGTTCCCTCCCCTGGGCTCTGGCTGGCCCAGCTCCGGGTATGAGGGGCCCTTCTGCTCTGACATCACGTGCTGCAGGTGAGGGTGTTGCCAGAGGCGTCCCAATTCACAGCCCTTGGGAGCAAAGGAGTTCAGACATGCACAACCTCAGCAATGCCAAAGGCTCAGAGGGATGCAGCTGAACAATGTGCTTGGAGCTGGATCCGAAACATTGCTCTGGGGAAAAGTTTAGGAAGAAGGGTGGCAGGGGGAGCTGGTGTTTTGAGGAAGGCTTGCTGTAAGAGCTGAGGCCCAGGCAAGTTACACAGCACGGCAGCATTGGACATTGCCAGCATGTTGCTGCCACAAACATGGCTGTTGCAGGTGAGGAGGAAAAAGCTGGGGCTGCCCCACAGCACAGGGCTCTGGGTGATGCATGGGGCTGCCCCTGCTGCGTGCCCCCCGAACTCCCCTTTCCCACGCAATCCCCCCAGGTCATGGTGAAATCCCATGTGCAGCCTGCACCAAGCACAAGGGGAAGTGAATCTGTCTGTCTGTCCCTTTTGCTTGTGTGGGTTTACAGGAATTGTTGCCGTGGAGTGAGCATTGTGGAACGGCCCTGGTGGAGGTTGTTTTGGGGCTGAGAGCCCTGTCAGCTGCATGCCTATGGGGTGCAGATGCACTGAGCATCCTCGGGTGCATTGTTCTTTCTCTCCCCTCTGCATTTCTCCTTGCAGGAGAGGTTTCATGCAGGAGCTTGGAGGCTGAGTGGTGGACTGCCTGTTATGGCTGGTGAGCGATTTGCTGGGAGAAGGGAGCTGGAGGGCAGGGAAGTGGGGAACAACCCCAAGGCTTACCATGCAGTGTAGGGACTGGCAGAGGCAGGGTGGTCAAGAGACTTTAAGGGATGTGAGGGGGGGGCTCTCAGGAGGATGTGGCTTCTTAGAGCTGAGCCTCCCTTCTGTCCCCTCCCCTCTGCAGGATGGTTTAGGCGGCTCCTGCAGAAGCCCAAGCAGAGCTCCATCCACACATCGAGCAGCTCTCATAGCATGACCAGCCACTCACTGTCGTCCTCACCCTCCTCCTTCTCCTCCTCCTCCTCCTCTGCTTGGAGCTCCAGCTCCTCCAGCAGCACCAGCACAGCTCGGCCTGGCCGCCCAGCCCCAGTGGACATCAGCAGCTCGAGCAGCGCGCGCTGGGCGAAGAGCTACGATGTGTGCATCTGCCACAGTGAGGTGGACCTGGAGTTTGTGGAGGAGCTGGTGTCCTACCTGGAGAGCCAACCCCAGAGCCTGCGCTGCTTCCTGCAGCTGCGGGACAGCGTGGCGGGCAGTGCTGTCGTGACAGAGCTGTGTGAGGCTGTGCAGAACAGCCACTGCTGGGTGATGCTCATCACCCCCAGCTTCCTGCAGGACCCCTGGTGCAGGTACCAGATGCATCAGGCATTAGCAGAGGCCCCGATGGCCAACGGGCGTACCATCCCTGTGCTGAAGGACATTGATAGGAAAGATTACCCCAGGGAGCTGAGGAACCTCTACTACATCTACACGGCCCTCAAGGAGAACAGCTTCAGGCAGATCAGGGACACTGTGCTGCGCTGTGAGTACCCTGCAGCCTGTACCATGGGGTGGAGCATGGCCTCTGTCCCCAGACATCCCCCAGTGGGCCACGGGAAGGGGTTGGATCCTTTAACCATTTAAATGGTTAATCTGAGATCAGTCAGCCTGCTAATGGGGCCTGTCTGCTGCCTCCACAGATCTGGAAGAGCTGTGCCGGAACTCCACGAGTGGAATGGAGTAGTGCCCACCGAGGGCACTTGTGTCTGAGCGAAGCTGGAGGCATTTCTGTGGGCATTTCAGAGCACTGGGACAAAGTGGTGCCACTGGGGCCGAAGCCGAAGACCCTTCACGTCACTGCTGAGCTGCCATCATGCCTGCCCAGCTCCACTGTGCTGAGCTTGGGGCTCTCTGGGGACAAGGCTGGGGACTGCATCGCTCCAGTGCGTCATGCAAACACTAAATTCCCACAGGGCAAAGCACAGCGGGGCTCTGCAGCGACTTCTGAGGATGAGGGCACTCAGGGTGCCTGGAACCTCCTGTGCAAGCTGGTGCCACGAGGAGCTTGCAGCTGGAGCACGTTTGTTCTGTGGGGCATCATGTTGCACACTGTATGAGGAGAAATGCACAAGTCTGATTTTTAACTCCTGGCTCTGTGGGTTTTCTTTCTTTTTTGGGGGGTCCCAGCGAAAGGCCCGGTTGTGTGGGGAGACGCCGCTGCCTTCCTCACGCCCCACGAAGCGTGCTGGTGGCTCTGAGAAAACCTTTGGTTGCAGGCAGCCCGGGCAGCGTTGCGGGTGCCGAGCAGCGGGGCGGATGTGCGGCTGCGGAGGCGACGAAGCTCGGAGCTGCGCGGGGCTGCGGGCTGGGCCCGGCGGGAGCCGAGTCCTCCGGCCGCGAGGGGGCGCCGTCGCGCGCCGTCTCCACGCCGTTCCCGCGCGGCCATGGCGGACGGCCCGGCCCCGAAGCGGCGGCGGGAAGAGGGCGAGGCGGCCCCGGGCGGCTCCCCGTTCCCGTTGGGCTCCGTGCGGATGCGGCGGCTGCTGCGGGACTCGGCGCGCGAGAAGGCGGCCTTCGTGCACGGCCAGGTACCGGGGAGAGCCCCGTCCCCGCGGCTGCGCGAGGCCGGCTCGGGGCTCCCTCCGCGCTCACGGCTGCGCCGCCGCAGGTGTCCGGGCCGGCGGGGGAGGAGACGGACGCCGTGCTGATCCTGGAGAAAACGCCGTTCCGGGAGGAGGAGATCGGGGAGCTGCTGAGGAGGCCCGCCAAGCTGGAGCTGCAGACGCGCAACGACATTTACAGCACGTACCGCCTCTACCCGCCCCCCGAGCTGAGCGGTGAGCGCGGGCTGCGCGAGGCAGAGCGCTGCGCGGAGCCCCGGCCCTCCGAGCGGAGCGAGCCCGGCTCTCGCGGGAGAGGCGCTCCGACGGCTCGGCGTCGCTCCGTGCTGGGAGCTGCGGGCTGCAGGCCGCGCTCCGGGGGGGGACGGCCGCCGTACCGCGCTGCTGGCTCTCGGTGCGGCCAGGACACGGGAGGCCTCCTGGGCTGCAGGACCGCCCTGCCCTCCTGCCCTGCCTATGCTTTTGGCCCCCCAGGTCCCTCTTGGTAGAGCTGCTCTCGGTCAGTTTTTCTCTGGGGTTGCCCCAAGCCAAGTGCAGCTCCTTGCAGGCCCACTTCTTGAGCCCGTCCCGGTGCCCCTGGATAGCATCTCTTCTGTTGTGTCAGCTGCGCCGCTCAGCTTGGTGTCATCTGCAAACTTGCTGAGGTGCACTCGATCCCATCTGTGTCACTGGGAAAGATGTTGGAGAGTTCTGGTCCCAGGAGAGACCCCTGGGGCACAGAACTCAGCACTGCCTCTGCCTGGATGTAGAGCCTCTGACCACAGCCCCCTGGTTATGGCCTCACCCTTCACAGACTGTTCCTTTCAGGGTGTCATTTTTTGCTCTTTTTTTCCTCGTTGCCTTATGAGGACAGATAGCTAACATGCTGGCAATGGGATTAAAGTGCTGATCTGCAGCGTGTGCTGCAGGTGGGCACCTCGTCTGCTGCCCTTCCTGCTGCTCCCCACTGATTTCACACGTCTCTGCGTTACGATTCCCTGGTTAACAGCAGAATGCGGCGAGGTCAGCCCAGCAGGTTGAAGATGTCACAGAATGGTGTTGCCTTGTGAATTGGATTTTCATTGCTAACAAATTGCTTTCCTTACGGAGGGTAGGACTCCTCTCTCAGCCATGCTGATGCTTTGATTTAATGCTGATGTTGGTTTAAATTCTGGAAGCGTAGTGATTGTGTGTCAGCACTTCCATAAATGTGATGATAACCAGACAGGTTTAATGTAGTCAAAATCAATCAAAGTGATAGCCTGAAGGAAGAAGTCGTTGTGGCCCCAAATGGAGTTTTCAGGGCAACGCATCTGTCTTCAGCTTGCATCACGTAGCAGGCAGTGGCTGTAGAAGCTTGTGCAAAATGTGTTCTTCTGCAGCAGACTTGAAATGAGGAGTTTCAGCCTTAGGATTTCAGCAGCGCCTGCTGTCAGTGCTGGCGGTGAGTCGCAGCGGCTCCCACGAGGTGGCATTGCAGGGCTGGGAGCCGAGCCCTGGGAGCTGCCTTGTGGCTGCTGCGTGCTGTCTTGGCATAAAGGCTGTGCGCTCCTATCGTGGTTCTGCTGGCTTCCTTTGGTGGAAGTTTGTTCATTGAATTACCTTTGAAATTGCCGTTCAGAGGTGTCCACGGGAGCTGTGGTTTGTAAGCAACGTGTCTCCAGCACAAAGACAACAGGGGCATCTTTGCCTCCCACTCTGCTGTCGCAAAGCTGTGTCCCTGTGTCGCTCCATGCAAAACAGGGTTGAGCTGGGGACAGTTGGTCTCTCTGATGGCAGCATTGTTAAAATTTCACGAGAAAAAGTGCAGGCAAGGTAAATGCTGAGTGACTGGGAGACACCTCCTGGGCCCTCCTGGCAGCCTGAGGGCTGTCTGTTGCTATCAAAGATGTCACATTTCTTCCTATGAGGAGCTGCATTTGCAGATACCTCGTGTGAGATGCTCTCCACCAGCAGCACTGGCACCCTGGAGCGTTTAGCATCAGATGAAGCATGTTTGGGAGGGGAAAGAAATTGTCCTTTTGAGCTGAGTCATGGCCCAAGAAGGGAGTTGACGCAAGGAATGAAGCTAATAAATGTTAAAATGATGGATGAGAAGTTCCCTGTGGGGCTGTGTACATTGGGAAAACCCTGGACATCAAGTGAGCGTGTGGAGACCCGGCAAGGCATCGGTCCGGTTTGGTCTCTTGGTTGTGGTGTTGGGTTTTCTCTCCTGGCACTTACAGGTTTGCACTTACAGCCCGGTTAGTTTTGCACTCAAGGTCTAACATTGGCATTAAGCTGGTGCCCGGGGTCAGTGTCACACTGAAGAGGAATTCACTGCAGGGATTTTGCAGCAGCCGAGCCCCCACTCTCAATTTCTCCCTTCCCGAGGGTAAAGCTAAACCCCCTCCAGCAAACTGCCTGGAGCGAGGTGCTCACAGCTGCAGGTGACCTGCAGACCTCTGCGCCGTGGCTGAAGCTTTGCCTGCTAACGGCAGCTCTGGGAGGAGCTGGCTCTCATTAGCAGCCCGCAGGTCTGCTTTGTGCGGCGCCTTTCTCAATGTCGCCTTTGTGGTCCGTGGCCCCGGAGGCCCTGCAGACAGCTGGGCTTTCGTGAGAGCTGAAAGCGGATATTTTCTTTCCTCTTTTCCCACCTCCTCGTTTAAGCTACTCAGATGCTGTTTCACCCAGGGAGCAAAGTTAATGCAAACTGTGTGCAGTGAAAGCTTGTTTTGTCCTGGTGGTAAAAGAGCCTGCGGGGCTGGGCGAGCCGCTTTGTTTTGTGGCAGGGCACAGGAGAGGCAGGCTGAGAGGTGAGGTACCTGCAGCAGGGACATCCCTCCACCCTGTGAGTCAGAATTGCACTCTGCAGCTTGAGGACAGGCTTTGTGGGGCAGGGATTGTGGCAGAGTGGGTCCTGGCTGGAGGACCTCGGCTTGTGCTGCTTGTTGTGGCCGCTGGAACAGATGTGCAATGGATGAAATGGGAAATGCATTTGAAAACCCGCCTAGAGGGTGTGCATCTGAAGGGTAATCCAAGCCCACCAGATGGAGGAGAAGATAGTTTGCCATTCAGACCCACCTGAATAAGGGGATGACTTGCTAGTGAGTTGGTTGATATGTCCTCTGACCATAACTGGTCTAATATTGCAAAAGGAGAGCCTTTGCATCTCCGCTGTGGGCCAGCCACTGAGTGCTGGGTTGTGTTGGGCACAGCTCTGTGGAGCACAGCTGCAAACACTGCCCCACGTCTGCAAAACAGCACAGCATGGGCTGGCAGGGGAATGCAGGGAGAGCCGTCTCCCGCTAAGTTCCTGCCGTTCCTAAATGCCAGTGCGCTGCCTTCCCTGCCCCTTGCTCCTGCTTGGGTTTAACTGGCAGCTTACCTCTGAAGGTCTGATGTGCTGGCAGAGGAAATCACAGCCCAGGGAGCTGGAGCTGCTTTCACAGCAGGGAAAAGATTTTCCAGGTGCCAGAGGACTGATTGCGAAAGCTCCATGGTTTAAGCAATGCGTTCCCTCCCCGCATCCAGGTCCTGGTGATGCATTTGCTCAGCTGACATCTGTTTAGCAGGCAGCTTGTGTTTTCCAGCACGGTGCAGCCTGGCTGCTGAGAGATGTTGTGTTTCATGGCACCTCGGCCGTGCTCACGTAATTCAAGGGCTCTCATCAGTCTGCACTGGAAGGAAGCTTTGTCTGCTGTGCACGATTGGCAGCTACGTGTCACAGCTCCATTTGCAAGCACGTCCTCATGCTGCAGCCTGAAGAGTCTAAAAATGAGCATTACTGACAGACACTCTGACGCAGAGTGGAGAAACTGTGGGAGAAATGGAAGAGTATGGAAGGCAGCGGGGAAACTATTCAGTCATGCAGGAAGTGATACATATTCCTGCATTCCTGAGCCCAGCAAGGATCTGGTTTCAGGCAGCAGGAGCTGGAGAGACGTGCATGAGCTGCATGGACGTCTGCAGCCGAGTCTGCAGTGCTTCCCATGGCTGTGCTGCCGCGCTCCTGGCACAGCGAGCAGGCTGCTTAAATATCATAATGAGAGTCTGCGATTGAACAGAAGGCTGGAGCCTGAGCAGCGGGAGCCGTTGGGCTGGAGCCAGGTGGGGGTAGGTGCAGGCAGCGAGGGGAGGGCTGCTCTGCTGGGCAGTGGGCGCTGTTCCTGTGCTGCGCTCCAGCTCTCAAGAGCTGGTGACTCAGAGATTCTCTTTCCCACACTGCAGCCAGCGCCCACCACGTCCTCTCCATCTCAGGATGAGAAGCAGCGGCCAGACAGCTTGGCAGAGTCCCCAGCAGCACACTTGGCTTGCCCTGGCATGCGCTGGCCTTGGAGAGTGTGAGAGCTCTTGAAAGCGTTCTCCTTTTTGTGTGCTTTTGTCTCGTTGTGCAGTGAAAGCCCCAGAAGCCTGTGATGGAGCACAGTACTGCCGGGGGTGGGGTACGTGGGGTTCATTTGGGGATGCTGTCAGTTGTCATCGTGAACAAGGATAAATGGGAAGGGGAGGTTGTGTGACACTGTGCTTGGATAACTTGGCATTGAAAGGGGAAGCTGAGGATGGTGCAGAAAGGTGTATGCAACATGCAAGATCTTGCAGAGGAAGAACTTGGAATGGAAGAGTGCAATCAATTCTCCCTTCGGCTTTGTGTGCTCAGTTGTAAACCAAAGCACCTGGGCTTCCTATTGGCAAAGGGAGGAAAAGTGTCCCTGCCCCGGGGCTGTTCCTGCCTGCCTGCTTCTCTCAGCTCCTCAGCAGCTTACATCGATTTAAAACAGGTAACAAACACATGGCGATGGCCCTTGTGGTGCTGCCTCGGAATTCTTGAGGGGGGTGAAGAAGTGAGTGGGTTTTTTTGCACTCTCATCAGAGGAGGAGAGGAACTGTTTGGTTCTAGGCAGTCTGAGCTTCATTTCCCTGTGGACGTGGAACTGAAGTCATGGAGTTTTCCCTCAGACACACCTGCTCCCCTTGTAGGGTGATGCCCAGGAATCCAAGTACCTCTGGCACACGTCTATCTGGGATCCTTCCATTTAGACCTCATTTTTGGTATTTTTTTAGCTGCCTCCAGCTAAGAGTGCTGACTCCTGGAGTTAAACCACAGCCCTTTCGGGCTGCCATCCCGGAACAGGCTGGCCAACACGACCCAGATGCAGGCAGCGATAAGTGCCAGCCATTTACCAACCTGAAAACCACCCGATGTGCACAGCCATGCTTCGCCCCGTTTCCAGGCCAGCACGGATTGCTCCTGTCGTGCTTCAGCACACGTGGAGCCTGCTGGGCGCAGGGCAGCTTTCAGAATGAGACATGAGTGCGGTTGGCTGCCAGCAAATGGAAAGGTTCAGCAGTGTGTGCAGTCGTGCTGTGTCTGCAGTGGAGCTGCTCGCTGTTGCACCCTGAGTGCGAGGGCTCGGCCTTTTATCTCCTGCTTTTCTCCACTGCTTTTTTTTGGTCTTTTTAAAGCAAGGAGTGGAGGAGCTGCAGCCTCGTCTTTGGGTATTACATCACCCTGCTCAAAGTGCTAATCGAGCCCTGGAAAACAACCTTGTTTGAACATGTGTACAGTGGGAATCGGACCAGACTGCCCTTGTGGTTTGCATTTTCATATTTCATGTTACCAGCATTTTCCTGTGGATTTCATTAAGCTGGGTTTGGCATGGAATGAAAAGACAGAGTCTCCCAGCTTGTGCAGCGCTGACCTTAAAAAGAACAGAAACCAAAAAACAAAAAAAAGACACCCACCCTGAGTCCTGGCTTTAAGAACAAATAGATATTTATATTCCACGTCTGGCTAGCATATATTCATCTGTGAAGTGTGAGGCACAGCTGCTCGGTGCTGCTGCTTTTTGTGGCAGCAGCAAAAGCCGTTGCAGAGCTTGGGCACAAGCTGGGGAAGCTGCAGGACTTCTGCCCCGTGCGTGGGTCTGATGGCTTCGTTTGGGGTCAGGACGGGGTGTTCTGCCTTCAGTTGTTCAGTGCTCCACCAGCGGGCCGTTTTCTCCTGCAGCTGTCGCACATCCACCCTCGGGCAAGGAGGGATATTTCCCAAGTGCTTCACTGCTGCGAGGGAGATTCACTGCTGCCAAGGCCAGGGCTGCCGGGTCAGTGAGGTGCATGCTGGAATCCTGTTCAATGTCGTGGAAAATACACCTCCAAGTTCTAATCTCAGTGTAAACAGGGGTTGTTTTCCTTTAGTGAAAGTAACCAGCTGAATGCTCTCTGCTTGCCAGCTGGTGAAGGGGAGCACTGAATCAGCCCTGCGCTCATCCCAGCAGCCGCGGCGCCTTCCAGATGTGTCCCTCTGTCCTTGGCCTCCTGTCCTCAGGGCTGAGCATCCTCATGGCTGGGAGCTTTGGGAGCAGCGCTGCCTGCCATGGATCGTCCACGTGCCCCGTGTCTCCTCTTTTGGGAAGAGAATCTGTGAGTTAAAGGCCATGTGCACAAGGAGGTTTTGTTCCTGTGTGCTGTGCCTGGTGCAGGGTGTGGGCCAGCAGAGAGCCTTTCCCGCAGGGCAGAAGGATGGCCTGGATATCAGGGGCTGCACAGAGCTGCCTCAGGCGCTGTGCTGAAAGAGGCTTTCAGAGGAGCTGCATTGTAAATGCAGGGAGCTTTTGGGCTCACAGCCCCAGTGGGGTGTGATGGAGCAGGATGGGGTCAGAATGGCATTGCTCATCGTGGCAGGAGTGCCCATTTCTTCTGCTTTTCTTCCTGTACCCATCTACTGTCGCTTCTGTGGACACCAGCTGTCCCGATGCCTTTGCAGCAGCTTTGCTGCCTGAGCTCACGAGGGGTTGGTGAGGTGCCTGTCCTCGTTTAAAAGCTTTTTGCTCTGCTCCTGTCCCAGTCCTGTTCTCTGGGAGCAGGTAGCAGGGTGCGCCCTCAGACACAACTTGGGCGTGCTCAGAAGCTGTGTCAAGTGGAGTTTTGGCTCCTCAACTGCTCAAAAGCAGGCTGCGTCATCTTGGAGCTGGAAGGGGAGCTGAGCTCTGCTTCAGATGGGCTGTTTGCAGTCAGGGAGCGGCTGGGGCTGCCTTCCTTGCTGCTGGGGTTTGGGCAGCTGCACTGAAGCTGCATGTAAGTGGAGAAACAAAACGTCTGGGATTGTGGCTTTCTGCAGGGACAGTGGCTCCTTGTGCAGGCCTGTTGCGTGCAGCCCATGGGATGTCTGCTTTGGTGGATGGAGAGAGTTTCTTGATAGCATCTGATTACCCTCAGGTGGAAAGAATGAGGAACGTGCTTCTCAGCCCTGGGTAGTGCTGCCATGTGCTGCTTCTGTCCTACTTGACTGCACATAAACTTTTCCCTGGGAGCCCCAGATGTGCACTGATGTTGCTGATATATCTGAGAAGTGAGTGTGGGAAAAGTTTCACCCAGCGTTTCACCCCTTCCACCTGAACTGGAAATACTGGCCCTGGCTGTGCTGTCAGCTTATTGTGTTCCTCTGTGCAGATGCACTGAGCTCCTTTCCGTGATGACAGAAGGAGCCCTGCCGGTTCAAGTGCTTGTTTGCCATCTGTGTCAGCTCTCCCCTGCTATTTTAATGGTATATTTTTGAAATGTGTTAGCGTGGCATTTATTAGAGGGCAAAAACAGGTTTATGTGGAACTAAAGGAAGTAACTCGGGTTTCATCTGTGATTATAATTCAGTAAATATGTTTTTTTTGTTTTTTCCTAGAGATAAAAGCCACAGTGGTGTACCCTGCCACAGAGAAACACCTTCAGAAGTACCTGCGTCAGGAAGTGCACCTGGTCCGTGAAACCTGGGAGGACTACAAGAACATAACACTGCCCTTCATCCAGTCCCAGAGCTTCAGCATCCAGGTATGGGCACTGCTGCTTCTCAAGGGTCTGGGGCTGCGTGTCCCTCTGCAGGGGTGGAGAGCCTGCAGGAAGAGGTGCCTCAGGCACTGCTGTGGTGACCCTCGCTGCGACAAACACGGTACTGGAGTGGGTTTGCATGATGAGAATTGAGAGCAGGGTTCTCAACTGGATTCTTGTTTTGCAGTGTCTCCATTCTGGTTTTGGTACTGCACAGCTGCCAGAGGCTGCACCTCCAGGAGCTGTTCTGGGCCTTGTGTGTTGCCTTCCTGGCATGCTGGTGTCCCATTCCTTTGGCCAAACGAGAGCTGACAGTGCCTCGAAGTCAACAGTCTCTGCAGAGCTTGATGTTTGCAGGAGCTCTGGGGATGGAAGCAGAGCTCTGCCTGTCTTTGGCCTCCCTCTTTAAGGTGCTGGGCTGTCAGATGTCTCCTCGAAGCCTGGACTGCAGGCAGATGAATCAGCAGAGCTCTGCCCCGTCTCCCTGCTGGCTGCTCCATCCATGTGTTGTCAGCTCTGTGGTGTTTCACCCTCTCTTCTAACACGCCTGTTTCTCAGACGTGACCGGCAGCAGAGCTGTGAAGTTTGGGATCTGTGATGCTGACTGTTTCCCTGAGAACACCCACTTAACTGCTGCACTTTCTGGAGGCTGTCTGACCTTTTTGGTGAGCACAGCAGTGCTAAGCAGGGCTCTTTCCCCAGGCTCTCCCGGTAGAGCTCTCCTTCTGTTCTTCGGTAGCACTGCTACATCATTATAGAAAAGCTCTTCCTTTGGAGATTGATCCAGTGTGCCCTTCTCAAGGCTCCTGGAGACCTGCTGTGTCGGGACATTTCTTCTCTCTGAGGGTGGAATTGGTGCACTTTGCTGGGCCTCGTGGGAGTCTCTTGGGTGCTTTGAAATGGGAAGACCTACACAGTGCTTGGATTCCTTGCATCACAACTCACTCCTAGTGCTTTGCAGTCTACTCTGCCTTCCAGTCTTCCAGTTCATATCCCACGTGCAGGAGCTGAATTTTTGGGCTGCCTCTCACCACCAGCAGCAGCAATGCACTCGTTTCTTGTTTTCCCTTTTTTGACTGCTCCTCTCTTCCACATCTTTATAGGCTGAAGGACCAAAAGTCTGTAGGGGCAATTCATGCCAACCTGTGCAGATGAGGGAATAAAACGAATCCTAGCAATGTCAAGCTTACTCGAGTAATTGATTACTGCTCTTTCGGTGCATTAAAAGCAACTCATTGCTTATGTATCTAATCTGTGCAGCCACTGCCGTGAAAAGGAAACCATCAAGCAAACCAAGTGGCTCTTAGAGCCAGGCAATAGCTCCTGCATCCTCTCCCTGGTGATGCTGCTTCTGCACCTTGCTGATGAGCGAAGTGTGCGCCCTTTCCAGCTGACTGCAGGTGAGGGTCTGTCGAGGCTATTCATTAAAAATAAGCTCCTTTGTCTCAAATGAAAGACAACCACAGACCTCATGTGTCCCCTCCTCACATCTTTCTCTTACTGATTTAAACTGCAGCAGACTGGCTATGGGTTTGCTGTTGTGCTCTGATCACTTGCAGCTGATGTGAATCTTGCTTTGTGCATGGAGTTCCAGGAGGCACCCTGCAAGCTGCAGTGCGCTCCGTTACTCCTTGCTCACCCACATTTGTTCCCTCCATCATTCAGTTTTCTTGCCAGCAGTTGGACTGCAACACCCCTAATTTATTGGAAGCATTTATTAGCTGGAGAAACAAAAGAGTGTATTTGCACCTGGTAGCAGCCTGCACAAATGTTTTCTCCATGTCTTTGCTCTGCAGGCTAAGTTCTGTGACACAGCAGCTGCCCTCAGCAGTATGAGGTCTCTCTACCTGTTCCACCGAATGCTTGTGAGCTGATTTCTGCATGAAGTAGGTAGATGGAAGCATGTTCCTGCCAACCTTGGGAGCAGCTGCCTTATCTGTGCTTGGCGATCTTGGTCTGAGCATCGGTCCTCTGGGATTTGATAATGCAGTTTCTTGTCTTTATCTAATTGGTTTTGTCAAAGGGAAGAGGAAATGTGAAAGGCAGAAGTATTGGAGGACTACAGAGGAGGCTCTGTTTTCTGCCTGGAGGATGCAAATTCTGGCTGCTTTCAGCATAATAGTTTTATTGTAGTGCCAGCTTGTGGACGTGTTGTCTTCCCCAGGCTTATGCTGGAAAGAGCAGGAGCAGCCAGCTGATGACTGCTGGTCATCATGGGGCAGCAGCGGTTTATGGCTCTGCTCATCCTGTATGTGAGCTTATTGGGGTACCCACAGGTTGGCACTGCTCAAAAGAGGCGGCGTGAAAAAGTGAGTGGCAAACTTTCATTTCCTTCTGAGCTTCCTGCCCTGCCTTTCTCACAGGGTCACGGAGCACAGCAGTCTTGTGCCATGTGTTCCATAATCTCTGAGAATCTCTCTGGGATGTTATCGCTAGGGAGGAAAGAGTGGGAACTTAAGAAAGAAAAGGATCGAGGCTGGGGAGGTTTGTTTGTCCCTAAGGAGATATATTCAGGTCAGTTCACTACGATCCTGAGTTTTGATTAGATTAATTAAACTCCTGACAGAGTTCCCAGCAGGGCTGTCTTTCATCTCGAGCATCTGTTGCACACAGCAGCCACTGAGCCAGTTTGCTGAGTGTGTCTGCAGGGCCAGCAGTGGCTTGGTGCTTCCACACGCCCTGGGACAGCAGCAGTGTGTTGTGCCTAAGCTCCATGGGAAGGTGAGCGTGGTGGTGATCAGCGCTGTGTGCAGTTCAGTTGTTTGCCCTATCCGTAAAGCTGAAACAGCTGTGGCACTTCTACAGCCTGGTTGTTTCAGGGAAGGCTTTCTGCAGTGGAAGGGCCACTGGCGTTTCAAAATGATTGCAGCTTTCGAAGCCCAGCCAATTTCTGCTGCCTTGCTTTTTTTCTCTAGAGACCTGATTAATGCTGGAAGTCTGAAACTCCCAAGAACTGCTAGCGTTTAGAAGCCAACTTGCAGCTCCCTCTGTGAAAGAGGACCTTTGTGTTTGGCAAGAGGGCAGGTGGGCAGCTTTAACCAGGACAGGCAGTCTTCCAGGCGTGAAGGTGCTTTCTCTGTCATGTCTCGTCTCGTCAGTTATCCCTGTTGGAGAGTGGAGACTTGCCTCTGCGCGGTGCTTTGCTCTCAGGAGCTCTTCCTCTGCAGAGTCTGAGCTCCCACGTCCTCCTGTTCTCCCTCCCAGCAGCCCAGCCAGGAATGCAGGGGATAACCAGAGCAAGGATTGCTGCTGTTGGAGGCCGAAGCTTTAAATATAGAGGAAGAAGAGCGGTGAGCTCTTTTCTAACCAGTCAGGAAACGTGACTTGCCCAAGAAAACACAGGCCTCTCGTCCTGGCCCGCAGAGTGCTGGCTGCCAGCAGCAGGAGCTCCATCCAGCCTCAGCCTTGCAGCGATCTGCTGCTTCCCTTCCGAATGGAAAAACCAGCCGGGTTTCCTCTCCACAGCTCGTCGTAAAGGTTTCAGGACAGCGTGGGGCGTGAAAGGTGTATGGAGGCACCGCCAGGCCCCGCGGGAGCTGAGCTCAGCCTCTGCCGGCCCCGGGGCTCTGGCTGCTGGCTGGGAGCATCGTGAGCTCTGTGGGCGTGATGGAGAATTGCAAGACCCCGTTGGGCAGAATTATCTCCAAATCCTCTTACAAGCAAATACAGCAGTTTCTAAACCATCTCTGTCCAATGCCTCATCTCCAGCTGTGGCCGATCCTTAATGCTCGAGAGGACAAAAATCCCTCAATAATTCAGCGAGGCAGTGGGGCCGCGCCATGCAGTGGGGTCAGAGGGTATCTTTTAACTGAAGTGCCTGTAATAGCCTGGGGTTTGTTGGAGTGCTATGGGTAATTAACTGCAAATGTTGTTGGCCATGAAATTATTTGGCCGTCTTTTTTTTTTTTTTCACGTTCTGCTTGCAGTGCATACAGACTAATCCATGAGCCTGGGCTAAATGTGCCTGAGCTTTTTGCTCTGCTGGTTTCTAAATCACATGTTTCTCTTTCAGTGGGTGTATAATATCCTGGAGAAGAAAGCTGAGGCTGATCGAATCATCCATGAAAACCCAGACCCTTGCAATGGCTTTGTTCTAGTTCCAGATTTTAAGTGGAATCAAAACCAGGTTTGTTTGCTACTCTTGGTTTTGAAGGGATGCTGCTTGTTGAGAGGCATTACAGAGGAAATGTCCACTTTGGTGTCACTAATAGCACGTTAATGAAACCTCTAGAAGAGGAATGCATCCTTCCTGTTCACACTAATTAAGCAGTGATGTTACCAGTGACTCAGGGCCTTTTGGAATGTGCTAATGGTGGACACTGCAAAACGCAGGCTGTCCTCACTGTTGCTCAGTGATTTATTTATTAGCTTCACTTTCTCTTTCCTGTGTTAGCCTGAGCGCTGTCTTGATGTGTTGGAACCGAAATCCAGCTGCCTGTTGTTCCTGATGGATTCCTTTGTTTGGGTTTCTGTCAGCCTAAATATTAGGCATAAATCAGGCAGATGTGTCGTCCTTCCAATTAACTCTCCTCACACAATATTAAACAGATGGCTGTTAGCTTATGAGCAGCTGCTTAACCCCTCGCTGGAGTGGCCACTTGTTGAGATTCAGAGGTCTTAGCCCGGGCTGTAATCCGAAATTGAGTGGCTCATTATTTCTTTTGACTCTGGCTCGATTCATGTGGCACTCCTATGGCCTGGAGACATCAAGGCCCGCGGCGTGCCTGCAGAGATGAAATGCCCCAGGCTCAAAGAAGCAGGGCTCCAAGCCTCGTGGAGTCAAAAAGTCCCCTTCGTGTTTCTGATCCTCAGAACCTCTCTGTGGGTGGCACCGAGGGAAAGTTTGATGAAAACGTGGAAATGGGAACTAAAAATAACCCTCCTAAGCTCTTAGCACAGCACGATTCTGTATCTCTGCGCTGAGCGTGGGCTGGGGGCAGGAGGGAGGCGGGAGAGCCGACTTCCATCTGGTGCTGAATTGCCTGGGGCTATGGGAGGTGAGGACAGGTAAGTTACTGCAGGGCAGTCCATGTAAACCTGGAATTCCCCGCACGTCAGCTGTTCTAAAAATCCCATGGCAACCTAAAAATCCCTTGTTGCTGTGGGGTAACTGAGCTTCGATTTCTGTTGCCCAGCACCCTGCAAGAAGGTGGCAGCAATGCAGTGATCCTGGGAAGTTAATTCTCAGCAATGTGCTCTTTTCTCCGAGCAGAGCCTCGGTGTAAATGCTTTCTCTCCAGAACCAAGCTGTGCAGCTCACTGCAGTGTTGAAGACAGATGAGCTTGAAGCTGTAGCCAGATTTCTCTACAGACCTGCTGTGCGCAGTGCAGTTAGGGAGCACCTGCATGGCAGGATGTGTCTGTAGGGGAGGTTTCCCATGCTGCTGTGGTTTGCTTGTGATCCAAACAGGATCTTCTTGATTTTTCCCCATGGCTGCACTCTCTGGGTGCTCTCACTGCCTCTGCATCAGCACAGCCACGTCCCCAGGGCAGGGGCTGCTCTCAGTCCCTGCAGGCACTGTGGGAGTGCTGAGCTGGGGGCTTTGGTGTGCTCCATGCAGGTGCTTCATCCCCACTGATAGCTGTTGACAGCTGGGTGCCCTCTGAGTTTTAAAAAGCAGAGATCTGGACTCCTGCCTTATTTGCATGATTCCTTACCCTGAGAGAAGGGCTTGGACTTGATTTCTCTGTGCTTCTGGCTGCCAGGATCCATACCCCTTGTGCTGCCTGTCTCTTCCCAGCAAGGGTGTTGTGTTGAGCAGGGTGTGTGCGTGGCTCCTCGCTGAGGCTGTCATCAGGAAGGTTAGAGCTGGTTTTCCTGCTCTTGGGCAGCTGGATGTGAGCTCAGTAGTGTCTTTTAAGTGAGACATTGCCATAAATGAATGGTATTCGGAGAGAAACTGAACAGGTTTGAATCCAGCGTGTCTCAAGACCTAAAGTATTAGATGAAACATGGGATCTGTCAGATCAGATCTCATCCCTGCAGCTGCACTTCAGAGCCGCCGGCCGTTCCCATTTCAGCTCATCCAAGCATCCGTGGGCTGCTGAATTAAATGAGGGTGGTGAGGCAGGGCTCCCAGCAGCGCCGTGCAAACCTCCCTGCAGCTCAGGTTCAGAGTTCTGTCCAACAGCATCGCGCTGTGCTAGCGTAGCAGTTTGCTAAATGTGGATTCACCTGCCGTTGCTTCGGGCTGATGGAAGGAGGAGGATTCCCTGCCTGGGTGCTGCTGCTCGCTGCCTCTGCCTGCTGCTGGGCCAGGAGCGACCGTGCTTCGTGCTGGGAAGTGGGTACCTGAAAGTGCTGCAGCAGCAGCGTGGCAGCTCGGCTGTGCAGAGCAAGCGAGTCCTGGTTAGACATGGTGCTGACGGCCCCTTCTGGATCCCTCCAGCTTTTCTCAAGCCCACAGGAGCCCCGAGGCGTTGCCTGAAATGATGCCGTGCATGACATCATTGAGGGCCTTTTTAGCAACAGGCGTATTTGTTTCAAACAGCAACGTACAGATGTTCTAAGGAGAGGGGATGTTTGCTTTTCCCCTGTGAGCCAGCTCTGGTTTGAAGAGGACAAACTGAGAGGCCATCTTCCTCTGGAGCTGTGCTGCTGTGAGAGCCAGGTCACAGCACGAGAACGGCTTTGCTGACTGGATGCAAATGAAGCTTTGTATTTCGAGTCCCAGGGCAGAGTTGTTCAAGCATCTTTTGGCACAAACATCTGTTTTCAAATAGCCAGATGGATTGCTTATAACTCTGAAGAGATCTGCTGGGCTGTGGATATCCAAACCCTTTGCTACACAGTGTTTATATTGTTAGAAAGCCACTAACTAAACTGAAGGAGACAGGGATGAAGTGCTGCGGAAAGGGGCTGGACTTTGCAGGACATTTGGTTTTGGAAACGCAGGCAGTTGAGGAAACAGCCTCGAGCAGCTGCTTGCCAGCACACAGTGCAGGGAGCACAGGTAGGCTTGGGTGTGAGAGACTCTCAGCTGCAGATATTGCTGAAGAACATCAGTGTTAGTCGTGGTGTGGGAGCCTGTCTTGTCCTGGCTGCCTCCGTGTTCAGTCTGATCCCTGTACAGGAGACTTCATCTCTGTGTTTATTATCTCCTGGGCAGCAATGCCACAAAACCATTTGACTGATTTATTTTTTTTTTATATATAATGATCCACGACCTTTTGTTTCACTGAACATTTAATTCAGTAAATTGCTTCCGGAGATGGCAAAGGTTGGTCTGAGCGCTGCGGGGCGGCCGTATGTCACTGTGGGGCTGTCAGGTGACAGATGAACACTTGAAAATAGTTATTTATAAAAGTGGAGTCACTGGAAAACGGGCCACTGTTTGTACAGAGGCAATAGGGGAAGCTTTTCATTCGGAAAAATCTACAGTCGCAGCTTTGGCTGCTGGAATTCACTGCAAATCCTCTGCTGAGCGCGGAGATAAGCCACCCTCTTGCTCTGCAGAAAGGCTGAGCTCAGCACTGCAGTTCAGTTCCCTGCTGCCTAGGCAAGTGCTGCACCTCTGCTGCCCCGTGAGGAAGGTTTAGTGTGCTGTGCACTTGGACAGGTGCTTCTGAAGTGTTTGAGGAGACGTTACTGGGGTTTGGAGCTAGGATCCACCTAGCCTGGAGGTTGGTGAAAGAAGTCGGCAGATAAGTGTGTGTGCACATTACAGCACAGCCCAGAAGCTCTGCACCGTGCTTGAGCCTCCACCTGCTTTCTGCTGTAGGCATCGTTCTCCTCCTCTGTTTCTGCCTCTCCACAGCTCGAGGACCTCTACCTGATAGCCCTCATTCACCGCCGCGGTGTGAAGTCTCTCCGTGACCTCACAGCAGAGCACCTCCCTTTGCTGAGGAACGTCTTGCAGGAGGGCAAGGTGAGTGCAGGAAGGCACAGCGAGCTGCTGCAACTCCCTGCCTTGGCTCCTGGCCTCTGCTGTGGCTGCCTGGTTTGGCAAAGAGCCGCCCTCTGTGTGGACACCAAAGCTGAGCGATGATCACTTCTCCCTCCTGAGCTCCTCCCCATCGTTCCCCTGCAATACAAGCCCTATTGCAACCAGGGGCATTGCTTAATAGGTGGAGGTGACTTTCCTCCTTGCATTGCACCCTGTGGTATGAGCTGCCTGCGGAGGATGTTGCCTTGTTCTTGCAGAGCTGCTGTGCTGTGTTGCGTGACTGTGTGATGTGGGGATGCATCACAGTGCAGCACCAGGCCCTGGGAAGAGCTGAAAGGGGGAAATGGAGCAGTGTGATGAAAAGAGGGCACTTTAAATCCTCTTTGTGCTTCAACTGGTATGCTCTTGAGGCCAGATACGTTGCAAGTGTCCTGAACTGCTCCAGGCGCTGAGCAGGGCTTGGTGCCCAGCAAAGCAGCAAGTCTCCACAGGGCCATGGGAAGCATTTGCTGATTTCCTCTCCTCCTCAGTTTAGACCCTCTCATGGGAGATGGTGGGGGGAGGTGTGAATGCCTCCCCTGCCCGTTTCCCTTCCTGAGACTGCAGCAGAGCCTGCCAGCAGGCGATGTGCTCTGTGCTTGCCTTACAAGGGTCTGTCAACTGGGAAACCCCTCCCAGTGCTGCCCTGCGCAGCCTGGCCACACTGCATCAATGCTGGAGGCCTTGGTGGCCTTTCTTTCCTCCTGCAGCCACCAGGCATCCATTTGCACATCACCGTGGTGGTGCTGAGCACTCATGCTGGGGCTGAAGCTCTCCTCCACGGCTTGAGAACAGACATATTTCTGCTGCTGCCTTTGACCTCACGCTGTTCCATCTCGTGTCACTGCAGTGCGTTCTAGGAGAAGGGAGCATCTTTTTGGAATGGGCTGGAGAGGTGTGGATGTGTCTGGGAGTCCACCCATCCCTCTGGAGCAAAGCCTTGCTCTTCTTTAAGAAGAAAACACCCTCTTCCTCTTGGCAGCCAGGCTGGGAATGAAGTCTGAGCGCTGCCTGCCTTGGAACTAGGACTTTTTACTGCGGCCAGCAAGCTCCTCACCTCTCTCCCCTTTCAGAAGTGTCT